GATGATGTAGATGATGCTGTCGACAATGGAGATGTCGCTCCTGATGTTGCAACCGTTAGTATACTGGAAGTTGTTGCAGTCACTGATGTAAATGGTGTTGTTGACAATGGGGAAGTTGCTGCTGCTGTTGAGACAGATTCAGTGCTTGAAGTTGTCGAGTCTGAGGTAATAGTGGATGGAGAAATAGTCGCAGTGTCTGCTGTAGGTGTTGTCGAAGAAAACGGTGATGTTTGTGATGTGGATGATGCTGTCGACAATGGAGATGTCGCTCCTGATGTTGCAACCGTTAGTATACTGGAAGTTGTTGCAGTCGCTGATGTAAATGGTGTTGTTGACAATGGGGAAGTTGCTGCTGCTGTTGAGACAATTTCAGTGCTTGAAGTTGTCGATTCTGAGGTAATGATGGATGTTGAAATAGTTGTAGTGTCTGACATAGATGTTGTTGAAGAAAACGTTGTAGTCCGAGATGTGAATTCTGTTGACAATGGGGAAGTTGCTGCTGCTGTTGAGACAGATTCAGTGCTCGAAGTTGTCGATTCTGAGGTAATGGTGGATGGAGAAATAGTTGCAGTGTCTGCTGTCGGTGTTGTCGAAGAAAACGGTGATGTTGGTGATGTGGATGATGCTGTCGACAATGGAGATGTCGCTCCTGATGTTGCAACCGTTAGTATACTGGAAGTTGTTGCAGTCGCTGATGTAAATGGTGTTGTTGACAATGGGGAAGTTGCTGCTGCTGTTGAGACAATTTCAGTGCTTGAAGTTGTCGATTCTGAGGTAATGTTGGATGGTGAAATAGTTGTAGTGTCTGACATAGGTGTCGTGGAAGAAAACGTTGTAGTCCGAGATGTGAATTGTGTTGACAATGGAGATGTTGTTGCTGCTGTTGAGACAGATTCAGTGCTTGAAGTTGTCGAGTCTGAGGTAATAGTGGATAGAGAAATAGTTGCAGTGTCTGCTGTAGGTGTTGTCGAAGAAAACGGTGATGTTGGTGATGTGGATGATGTTGAAAATGGAGACGTTGTTGCTGCTGTTGAGACAGATTCAGTGCTCGAAGTTGTCAATTCTGAGGTAATGGTGGATGTAGAAATAGTTGCAGTGTCTGCTGTCGGTGTTGTCGAAGAAAACAGTGATGTTGGTGATGTGGATGATGCTGTCGACAAAGGAGATGTCGCTCCTGATGTTGCAACCGTTAGTATACTGGAAGTTGTTGCAGTCGCTGATGTAAATGGTGTTGTTGACAATGGGGAAGTTGCTGCTGCTGTTGAGACAATTTCAGTGCTTGAAGTTGTCGAATCTGAGGAAATGGTGGATGGAGAAATAGTTGTAGTGTCTGCCATACTTGTTGCCGAAGAAAACAGTGATGTTGGTGATGTGAATGATGTTGTTGAGAATGGAGAAGTTGTTGCTGCTGTTGAGACAGATTCAGTGCTTGAGGTTGTCGATTCTGAGGCAATTGTGGATGCGGAAATAGTTGCAGTGTCTGCCATAGGTGTTGTCGAAGAAAACAGTGATGTTGGTGATGTGGATGATGCTGTTGACAATGGAGATGTCGCTCCTGATGTTGCGACCGTTAGTATACTGGAAGTTGTTGCAGTCGCTGATGTAAATGGTGTTGTTGACAATGGGGAAGTTGCTGCTGCTGTTGAGACAGTTTCAGTGCTTGAAGTTGTCGATTCTGAGGTAATGGTGGATGGAGAAATAGTTGCAGTGTCTGCTGTAGGTGTTGTCGAAGAAAACGGTGATGTTGGTGATGTGGATGATGTTGTTGAAAATGGAGACGTTGTTGCTGCTGTTGAGACAGATTCAGTGCTTGAAGATGTCGATTCTGAGGTAATGGTGGATGGATAAATAGTTGTGGTGTCTGACATAGGTGTTGTTGAAGAAAACGTTGTAGTCGGAGATGTGAATGGTGTTGTTGACAATGGGGAAGTTGCTGCTGCTGTTGAGACAGATTCAGTGCTTGAAGTGGTCGAGTCTGAGGTAATAGTGGATGGAGAAATAGTTGCAGTGTCTGAAATAGGTGTTGTGGAAGAAAACGGTGATGCTGGTGATGTCAATGATGTTGTTGACAATGGAGAATATGCACCTGATGTTGAAATCGTTTCTATATTTGAAGTTCTTGCAGTCGTTGATGTGAAAGGTGTTGTTGACAATGGAGATGTTGCGGCTGTTGAAACTGTTTCAGTACTTGAAGTTGTTGCTTCTGAGGTAACGGTGGATGTGGAAATCGTTGCAGTGTCTGTCGTAGGTGTTGTCGAAGAAAACGGTGATGTTGATGATGTAGATGATGCTGTCGACAATGGAGATGTCGCTCCTGATGTTGCAACCGTTAGTATACTGGAAGTTGTTGCAGTCACTGATGTAAATGGTGTTGTTGACAATGGGGAAGTTGCTGCTGCTGTTGAGACAGATTCAGTGCTTGAAGTTGTCGAGTCTGAGGTAATAGTGGATGGAGAAATAGTCGCAGTGTCTGCTGTAGGTGTTGTCGAAGAAAACGGTGATGTTGGTGATGTGGATGATGTTGTTGAAAATGGAGACGTTGTTGCTGCTGTTGAGACAGATTCAGTGCTCGAAGTTGTCGATTCTGAGGTAATGGTGGATGGAGAAATAGTTGCAGTATCTTCTGTCGGTGTTGTCGAAGAAAACGGTGATGTTTGTGATGTGGATGATGCTGTCGACAATGGAGATGTCGCTCCTGATGTTGCAACCGTTAGTATACTGGAAGTTGTTGCAGTCGCTGATGTAAATGGTGTTGTTGACAATGGGGAAGTTGCTGCTGCTGTTGAGACAGATTCAGTGCTTGAAGTTGTCGAGTCTGAGGTAATGGTGGATGGAGAAATAGTTGCAGTGTCTGCTGTAGGTGTTGTCGAAGAAAACGGTGATGTTGGTGATGTGGATGATGTTGTTGAAAATGGAGACGTTGTTGCTGCTGTTGAGACAGATTCAGTGCTCGAAGTTGTCGATTCTGAGGTAATGGTGGATGGAGAAATAGTTGCAGTATCTGCTGTCGGTGTTGTCGAAGAAAACGGTGATGTTTGTGATGTGGATGATGCTGTCGACAATGGAGATGTCGCTCCTGATGTTGCAACCGTTAGTATACTGGAAGTTGTTGCAGTCGCTGATGTAAATGGTGTTGTTGACAATGGGGAAGTTGTTGCTGCTGTTGAGACAGATTCAGTGCTTGAAGTTGTCGAGTCTGAGGTAATGGTGGATGGAGAAATAGTTGCAGTGTCTGCTGTAGGTGTTGTCGAAGAAAACGGTGATGTTGGTGATGTGGATGATGTTGTTGAAAATGGAGACGTTGTTGCTGCTGTTGAGACAGATTCAGTGCTCGAAGTTGTCGATTCTGAGGTAATGGTGGATGGAGAAATAGTTGCAGTATCTGCTGTCGGTGTTGTCGAAGAAAACGGTGATGTTTGTGATGTGGATGATGCTGTCGACAATGGAGATGTCGCTCCTGATGTTGCAACCGTTAGTATACTGGAAGTTGTTGCAGTCGCTGATGTAAATGGTGTTGTTGACAATGGGGAAGTTGCTGCTGCTGTTGAGACAATTTCAGTGCTTGAAGTTGTCGATTCTGAGGTAATGATGGATGTTGAAATAGTTGTAGTGTCTGACATAGGTGTTGTTGAAGAAAACGTTGTAGTCCGAGATGTGAATTCTGTTGACAATGGGGAAGTTGCTGCTGCTGTTGAGACAGATTCAGTGCTCGAAGTTGTCGATTCTGAGGTAATGGTGGATGGAGAAATAGTTGCAGTGTCTGCTGTCGGTGTTGTCGAAGAAAACGGTGATGTTGGTGATGTGGATGATGCTGTCGACAATGGAGATTTCGCTCCTGATGTTGCAACCGTTAGTATACTGGAAGTTGTTGCAGTCGCTGATGTAAATGGTGTTGTTGACAATGGGGAAGTTGCTGCTGCTGTTGAGACAATTTCAGTGCTTGAAGTTGTCGATTCTGAGGTAATGTTGGATGGTGAAATAGTTGTAGTGTCTGACATAGGTGTCGTGGAAGAAAACGTTGTAGTCCGAGATGTGAATTGTGTTGACAATGGAGATGTTGTTGCTGCTGTTGAGACAGATTCAGTGCTTGAAGTTGTCGAGTCTGAGGTAATAGTGGATAGAGAAATAGTTGCAGTGTCTGCTGTAGGTGTTGTCGAAGAAAACGGTGATGTTGGTGATGTGGATGATGTTGAAAATGGAGACGTTGTTGCTGCTGTTGAGACAGATTCAGTGCTCGAAGTTGTCAATTCTGAGGTAATGGTGGATGTAGAAATAGTTGCAGTGTCTGCTGTCGGTGTTGTCGAAGAAAACAGTGATGTTGGTGATGTGGATGATGCTGTCGACAAAGGAGATGTCGCTCCTGATGTTGCAACCGTTAGTATACTGGAAGTTGTTGCAGTCGCTGATGTAAATGGTGTTGTTGACAATGGGGAAGTTGCTGCTGCTGTTGAGACAATTTCAGTGCTTGAAGTTGTCGAATCTGAGGAAATGGTGGATGGAGAAATAGTTGTAGTGTCTGCCATACTTGTTGCCGAAGAAAACAGTGATGTTGGTGATGTGAATGATGTTGTTGAGAATGGAGAAGTTGTTGCTGCTGTTGAGACAGATTCAGTGCTTGAGGTTGTCGATTCTGAGGCAATTGTGGATGCGGAAATAGTTGCAGTGTCTGCCATAGGTGTTGTCGAAGAAAACAGTGATGTTGGTGATGTGGATGATGCTGTTGACAATGGAGATGTCGCTCCTGATGTTGCGACCGTTAGTATACTGGAAGTTGTTGCAGTCGCTGATGTAAATGGTGTTGTTGACAATGGGGAAGTTGCTGCTGCTGTTGAGACAGTTTCAGTGCTTGAAGTTGTCGATTCTGAGGTAATGGTGGATGGAGAAATAGTTGCAGTGTCTGCTGTAGGTGTTGTCGAAGAAAACGGTGATGTTGGTGATGTGGATGATGTTGTTGAAAATGGAGACGTTGTTGCTGCTGTTGAGACAGATTCAGTGCTTGAAGATGTCGATTCTGAGGTAATGGGGGATGGATAAATAGTTGTGGTGTCTGACATAGGTGTTGTTGAAGAAAACGTTGTAGTCGGAGATGTGAATGGTGTTGTTGACAATGGGGAAGTTGCTGCTGCTGTTGAGACAGATTCAGTGCTTGAAGTGGTCGAGTCTGAGGTAATAGTGGATGGAGAAATAGTTGCAGTGTCTGAAATAGGTGTTGTGGAAGAAAACGGTGATGCTGGTGATGTCAATGATGTTGTTGACAATGGAGAATATGCACCTGATGTTGAAATCGTTTCTATATTTGAAGTTCTTGCAGTCGTTGATGTGAAAGGTGTTGTTGACAATGGAGATGTTGCGGCTGTTGAAACTGTTTCAGTACTTGAAGTTGTTGCTTCTGAGGTAACGGTGGATGTGGAAATCGTTGCAGTGTCTGCCGTAGGTGTTGTCGAAGACAACGGTGATGTTGGTGATGTGGATGATGCTGTCGACAATGGAGACGTTGTTGCTGCTGTTGAGACAGATTCAGTGCTCGAAGTTGTCAATTCTGAGGTAATGGTGGATGGAGAAATAGTTGCAGTGTCTGCTGTCGGTGTTGTCGAAGAAAACAGTGATGTTGGTGATGTGGATGATGCTGTCGACAATGGAGATGTCGCTCCTGATGTTGCAACCGTTAGTATACTGGAAGTTGTTGCAGTCGCTGATGTAAATGGTGTTGTTGACAATGGGGAAGTTGCTGCTGCTGTTGAGACAATTTCAGTGCTTGAAGTTGTCGAATCTGAGGAAATGGTGGATGGAGAAATAGTTGTAGTGTCTGACATACTTGTTGCCGAAGAAAACAGTGATGTTGGTGATGTGAATGATGTTGTTGAGAATGGAGAAGTTGTTGCTGCTGTTGAGACAGATTCAGTGCTTGAGGTTGTCGATTCTGAGGCAATTGTGGATGCGGAAATAGTTGCAGTGTCTGCCATAGGTGTTGTCGAAGAAAACAGTGATGTTGGTGATGTGGATGATGCTGTTGACAATGGAGATGTCGCTCCTGATGTTGCGACCGTTAGTATACTGGAAGTTGTTGCAGTCGCTGATGTAAATGGTGTTGTTGACAATGGGGAAGTTGCTGCTGCTGTTGAGACAGTTTCAGTGCTTGAAGTTGTCGATTCTGAGGTAATGGTGGATGGAGAAATAGTTGCAGTGTCTGCTGTAGGTGTTGTCGAAGAAAACGGTGATGTTGGTGATGTGGATGATGTTGTTGAAAATGGAGACGTTGTTGCTGCTGTTGAGACAGATTCAGTGCTCGAAGTTGTCGATTCTGAGGTAATGGTGGATGCAGAAATAGTTGTAGTGTCTGACATAGGTGTTGTCGAAGAAAACAGTGATGTTGATGATGTGAATGATGTTGTTGAAAATGGAGACGTTGTTGCTGCTGTTGAAACAGATTCAGTGCTTGAAGATGTCGATTCTGAGGTAATGGTGGATGAATAAATAGTTGTGGTGTCTGACATAGGTGTTGTTGAAGAAAACGTTGTAGTCGGAGATGTGAATGATGTTGCTGACAATGGAGACGTTGTTGCTGCTGTTGAGACAGATTCAGTGCTTGAAGTTGTCGATTCTGAGGGAATGGTGGATGGAGAAATAGTTGTAGTGTCTGAAATAGGTGTTGTGGAAGAAAACGGTAATGTTGGTGATGTCAATGATGTTGTTGACAATGGAGAATATGCACCTGATGTTGATATCGTTTCTATATTTGAAGTTCTTGCAGTCGTTGATGTGAAAGGTGTTGTTGACAATGGAGATGTTGCGGCTGTTGAAACTGTTTCAGAACTTGAAGTTGTTGCTTCTGAGGTAACGGTGGATGTGGAAATCGTTGCAGTGTCTGTCGTAGGTGTTGTCGAAGAAAACGGTGATGTTGATGATGTGGATGATGCTGTCGACAATGGAGATGTCGCTCTTGATGTTGCAATCGTTAGTATACTGGAAGTTGTTGCAGTCGCTGATGTAAATGGTGTTGTTGACAATGGGGAAGTTGCTGCTGCTGTTGAGACAGATTCAGTGCTTGAAGTTGTCGAGTCTGAGGTAATAGTGGATGGAGAAATAGTTGCAGTGTCTGAAATAGGTGTTGTGGAAGAAAACGGTGATGCTGGTGATGTCAATGATGTTGTTGACAATGGAGAATATGCACCTGATGTTGAAATCGTTTCTATATTTGAAGTTCTTGCAGTCGTTGATGTGAAAAGTGTTGTTGACAATGGAGATGTTGCGGCTGTTGAAACTGTTTCACTACTTGAAGTTGTTGCTTCTGAGGTAACGGTGGATGTGGAAATCGTTGCAGTGTCTGCCGTAGGTGTTGTCGAAGACAACGGTGATGTTGGTGATGTGGATGATGCTGTCGACAATGGAGACGTTGTTGCTGCTGTTGAGACAGATTCAGTGCTCGAAGTTGTCGATTCTGAGGTAATGGTGGATGGAGAAATAGTTGCAGTGTCTGCTGTAGGTGTTGTCGAAGAAAACGGTGATGTTGGTGATGTGGGTGATGTTGTTGAAAATGGAGACGTTGTTGCTGCTGTTGAGACAGATTCAGTGCTTGAAGTTGTCGATTCTGAGCCAATTGTGGATGCGGAAACAGTTGCAGTGTCTGCTGTAGGTGTTGTCGAAGAAAACGGTGATGTTGATGATGTGGATGATGGTGTCGACAATGGAGATGTCGCTCCTGATGTTGCAACCGTTAGTATACTGGAAGTTGTTGCAGTCGCTGATGTAAATGGTGTTGTTGACAATGGGGAAGTTGCTGCTGCTGTTGAGACAATTTCAGTGCTTGAAGTTGTCGAATCTGAGGAAATGGTGGATGGAGAAATAGTTGTAGTGTCTGACATACTTGTTGCCGAAGAAAACAGTGATGTTGGTGATGTGAATGATGTTGTTAAGAATGGAGAAGTTGTTGCTGCTGTTGAGACAGATTCAGTGCTTGAGGTTGTCGATTCTGAGGCAATTGTGGATGCGGAAATAGTTGCAGTGTCTGCCATAGGTGTTGTCGAAGAAAACAGTGATGTTGGTGATGTGGATGATGCTGTTGACAATGGAGATGTCGCTCCTGATGTTGCGACCGTTAGTATACTGGAAGTTGTTGCAGTCGCTGATGTAAATGGTGTTGTTGACAATGGGGAAGTTGCTGCTGCTGTTGAGACAGTTTCAGTGCTTGAAGTTGTCGATTCTGAGGTAATGGTGGATAGAGAAATAGTTGCAGTGTCTGCTGTAGGTGTTGTCGAAGAAAACGGTGATGTTGGTGATGTGGATGATGTTGTTGAAAATGGAGACGTTGTTGCTGCTGTTGAGACAGATTCAGTGCTCGAAGTTGTCGATTCTGAGGCAATTGTGGATGCGGAAACAGTTGCAGTGTCTGCTGTAGGTGTTGTCGAAGAAAACGGTGATGTTGATGATGTGGATGATGGTGTCGACAATGGAGATGTCGCTCCTGATGTTGCAACCGTTAGTATACTGGAAGTTGTTGCAGTCGCTGATGTAAATGGTGTTGTTGACAATGGGGAAGTTGCTGCTGCTGTTGAGACAGTTTCAGTGCTTGAAGTTGTCGATTCTGAGGTAATGATGGACGGTGAAATAGTTGTGGTATCTGACATAGGTGTTGTCGAAGAAAACGGTGATGTTGGTGATGTGGATGATGCTGTCGACAATGGAGACGTTGTTGCTGCTGTTGAGACAGATTCAGTGCTTGAAGTTGTCGATTCTGAGGTAATGGTGGATGGAGAAATAGTTGTGGTGTCTGACATAGGTGTTGTTGAAGAAAACGTTGTAGTCGGAGATGTGAATGATGTTGCTGACAATGGAGACGTTGTTGCTGCTGTTGAGACAGATTCAGTGCTTGAAGTTGTCGATTCTGAGGGAATGGTGGATGGAGAAATAGTTGTAGTGTCTGAAATAGGTGTTGTGGAAGAAAACGGTGATGTTGGTGATGTCAATGATGTTGTTGACAATGGAGAATATGCACCTGATGTTGATATCGTTTCTATATTTGAAGTTCTTGCAGTCGTTGATGTGAAAGGTGTTGTTGACAATGGAGATGTTGCGGCTGTTGAAACTGTTTCAGAACTTGAAGTTGTTGTTTCTGAGGTAACGGTGGATGTGGAAATCGTTGCAGTGTCTGTCGTAGGTGTTGTCGAAGAAAACGGTGATGTTGATGATGTGGATGATGCTGTCGACAATGGAGATGTCACTCTTGATGTTGCAACCGTTAGTATACTGGAAGTTGTTGCAGTCGCTGATGTAAATGGTGTTGTTGACAATGGGGAAGTTGCTGCTGCTGTTGAGACAGATTCAGTGCTTGAAGTTGTCGAGTCTGAGGTAATAGTGGATGGAGAAATAGTTGCAGTGTCTGAAATAGGTGTTGTGGAAGAAAACGGTGATGCTGGTGATGTCAATGATGTTGTTGACAATGGAGAATATGCACCTGATGTTGAAATCGTTTCTATATTTGAAGTTCTTGCAGTCGTTGATGTGAAAGGTGTTGTTGACAATGGAGATGTTGCGGCTGTTGAAACTGTTTCAGTACTTGAAGTTGTTGCTTCTGAGGTAACGGTGGATGTGGAAATCGTTGCAGTGTCTGCCGTAGGTGTTGTCGAAGACAACAGTGATGTTGGTGATGTGGATGATGCTGTCGACAATGGAGACGTTGTTGCTGCTGTTGAGACAGATTCAGTGCTCGAAGTTGTCGATTCTGAGGTAATGGTGGATGGAGAAATAGTTGCAGTGTCTGCTGTAGGTGTTGTCGAAGAAAACGGTGATGTTGGTGATGTGGGTGATGTTGTTGAAAATGGAGACGTTGTTGCTGCTGTTGAGACAGATTCAGTGCTTGAACTTGTCGATTCTGAGGCAATTGTGGATGCGGAAACAGTTGCAGTGTCTGCTGTAGGTGTTGTCGAAGAAAACGGTGATGTTGATGATGTGGATGATGGTGTCGACAATGGAGATGTCGCTCCTGATGTTGCAACCGTTAGTATACTGGAAGTTGTTGCAGTCGCTGATGTAAATGGTGTTGTTGACAATGGGGAAGTTGCTGCTGCTGTTGAGACAGTTTCAGTGCTTGAAGTTGTCGATTCTGAGGTAATGATGGATGGTGAAATAGTTGTGGTATCTGACATAGGTGTTGTCGAAGAAAACGGTGATGTTGGTGATGTGGATGATGCTGTCGACAATGGAGACGTTGTTGCTGCTGTTGAGACAGATTCAGTGCTCGAAGTTGTCGATTCTGAGGTAATGGTGGATGGAGAAATAGTTGCAGTGTTTGCTGTAGGTGTTGTTGAAGAAAACGTTGTAGTCGGAGATGTGAATGATGTTGCTGACAATGGAGACGTTGTTGCTGCTGTTGAGACAGATTCAGTGCTTGAAGTTGTCGATTCTGAGGGAATGGTGGATGGAGAAATAGTTGTAGTGTCTGAAATAGGTGTTGTGGAAGAAAACGGTGATGTTGGTGATGTCAATGATGTTGTTGACAATGGAGAATATGCACCTGATGTTGATATAGTTTCTATATTTGAAGTTCTTGCAGTCGTTGATGTGAAAGGTGTTGTTGACAATGGAGATGTTGCGGCTGTTGAAACTGTTTCAGAACTTGAAGTTGTTGCTTCTGAGGTAACGGTGGATGTGGAAATCGTTGCAGTGTCTGTCGTAGGTGTTGTCGAAGAAAACGGTGATGTTGATGATGTGGATGATGCTGTCGACAATGGAGATGTCGCTCTTGATGTTGCAACCGTTAGTATACTGGAAGTTGTTGCAGTCGCTGATGTAAATGGTGTTGTTGACAATGGAGAACTTGCTGCTGTTGAAATCGTGTTAGTACTTGAAGTTGTTGCTTCTGAGGTAATGGTGGATGTGGAAATCGTTGCAGTGTCGGCCGTAGGTGTTGTCGAATAAAACGGTGCTGTTGGTGATGTTATTGATGTTGTCGACAATGGAGATGCTGCTCCTGATGTTGCAACCGTTAGTATACTGGAAGTTGTTGCAGTCGCTGATGTAAATAGTGTTGTTGACAATGGAGACGTTGTTGCTGCAGTTGAGACAGATCCAGTGCTCGAAGTTGTTGATTCTGAGATAATGGTGGATGGGGAAATAGTTGTAGTGTCTGAAATTGTTGTTGTGAAAGAAATCGGTGATGTTGGTGATGTGAATGATGTTGTTGACAATGGAGATGTCGCTCCTGATGTTGCCACTGTTATTAGACTGGAAGTTGTTGCAGTTGCTGATGTAAATTTAGTTGTTGACAATGGAGAACTTGTTGCTGCTGTTGAGACAGATTCAGTGCTTGAAGATGTCGAGTCTGAGGTAATGGTGGATGGAGAAATAGTTGCAGTGTCTGCTGTAGGTGTTGTCGAAGAAAACGGTGATGTTGGTGATGTGGATGATGTTGTTGAAAATGGAGACGTTGTTGCTGCTGTTGAGACAGATTCAGTGCTCGAAGTTGTCGATTCTGGGGTAATGGTGGATGGAGAAATAGTTGCAGTGTCTGCTGTAGGTGTTGTCGAAGAAAACGGTGATGTTGGTGATGTGGATGATGCTGTCGACAATGGAGATGTCGCTCCTGATGTTGCGACCGTTAGTATACTGGAAGTTGTTGCAGTCGCTGATGTAAATGGTGTTATTGACAATGGGAAAGTTGCTGCTGCTGTTGAGACAGATTCAGTGCTTGAAGTTGTCGAGTCTGAGGTAATGGTGGATGGAGAAATAGTTGCAGTGTCTGCTGTAGGTGTTGTCAAAGAAAACGGTGATGTTGGTGATGTGGATGATGTTGTTGAAAATGGAGACGTTGTTGCTGCTGTTGAGACAGATTCAGTGCTTGAAGTTGTCGATTCTGAGGGAATGGTGGATGGAGAAATAGTTGTAGTGTCTGAAATAGGTGTTGTGGAAGAAAACGGTGATGTTGGTGATGTCAATGATGTTGTTGACAATGGAGAATATGCACCTGATGTTGAAATCGTTTCTATATTTGAAGTTCTTGCAGTCGTTGATGTGAAAGGTGTTGTTGACAATGGAGATGTTGCGGCTGTTGAAACTGTTTCAGTACTTGAAGTTGTTGCTTCTGAGGTAATGGTGGATGGAGAAATAGTTGCAGTGTCTGCCGTAGGTGTTGTCGAAGACAACGGTGATGTTGGTGATGTAGATGATGCTGTCGACAATGGAGACGTTGTTGCTGCTGTTGAGACAGATTCAGTGCTCGAAGTTGTCGATTCTGAGGTAATGGTGGATGGAGAAATAGTTGCAGTGTCTGCTGTAGGTGTTGTCGAAGAAAACGGTGATGTTGGTGATGTGGGTGATGTTGTTGAAAATGGAGATGTCGCTCCTGATGTTGCAACCGTTAGTATACTGGAAGTTGTTGCAGTCGCTGATGTAAATGGTGTTGTTGACAATGGGGAAGTTGCTGCTGCTGTTGAGACAGATTCAGCGCTTGAAGTTGTCGAGTCTGAGGTAATGGTGGATGGAGAAATAGTTGCAGTGTCTGCTGTAGGTGTTGTCGAAGAAAACGGTGATGTTGGTGATGTGGATGATGTTGTTGAAAATGGAGACGTTGTTGCTGCTGTTGAGACAGATTCAGTGCTTGAAGTTGTCGAGTCTGAGGTAATGGTGGATGGAGAAATAGTTGCAGTGTCTGCTGTAGGTGTTGTCGAAGAAAACGGTGATGTTGGTGATGTGGATGATGCTGTCGACAATGGAGATGTCGCTCCTGATGTTGCGACCGTTAGTATACTGGAAGTTGTTGCAGTCGCTGATGCAAATGGTGTTGTTGACAATGGGGAAGTTGCTGCTGCTGTTGAGACAGATTCAGTGCTTGAAGTTGTCGATTCTGAGGGAATGGTGGATGGAGAAATAGTTGTAGTGTCTGAAATAGGTGTTGTGGAAGAAAATGGTGATGTTGGTGATGTCAATGATGTTGTTGACAATGGAGAATATGCACCTGATGTTGAAATCGTTTCTATATTTGAAGTTCTTGCAGTCGTTGATGTGAAAGGTGTTGTTGACAATGGAGATGTTGCGGCTGTTGAAACTGTTTCAGTACTTGAAGTTGTTGCTTCTGAGGTAACGGTGGATGTGGAAATCGTTGCAGTGTCTGCCGTAGGTGTTGTCGAAGAAAACGGTGATGTTGATGATGTGTATGATGCTGTCGACAATGGAGATGTCGCTCCTGATGTTGCAACCGTTAGTATACTGGAAGTTGTTGCAGTCGCTGATGTAAATGGTGTTGTTGACAATGGGGAAGTTGCTGCTGCTGTTGAGACAGATTCAGTGCTTGAAGTTGTCGAGTCTGAGGTAATGGTGGATGGAGAAATAGTTGGAGTGTCTGCTGTAGGTGTTGTCAAAGAAAACGGTGATGTTGGTGATGTGGATGATGTTGTTGAAAATGGAGACGTTGTTGCTGCTGTTGAGACAGATTCAGTGCTCGAAGTTGTCGATTCTGAGGTAATGGTGGATGGAGAAATAGTTGCAGTGTCTGCTGTAGGTGTTGTCGAAGAAAACGGTGATGTTGGTGATGTGGATGATGCTGTCGACAATGGAGATGTTGTTGCTGCTGTTGAGACAGATTCAGTGCTCGAAGTTGTCGATTCTGAGGTAATGGTGGATGGAGAAATAGTTGCAGTGTCTGCTGTAGGTGTTGTCGAAGAAAACGGTAATGTTGGTGATGTGGATGATGCTGTCGACAATGGAGTTGTCGCTCCTGATGTTGCGACCGTTAGTATACTGGAAGTTGTTGCAGTTGCTGATGTAAATGGTGTTGTTGACAATGGGGAAGTTGCTGCTGCTGTTGAGACAGATTCAGTGCTTGAAGTTGTCGATTCTGAGGTAATGGTGGATGGAGAAATAGTTGTGGTGTCTGACATAGGTGTTGTTGAAGAAAACGTTGTAGTCGAAGATGTGAATGATGTTTCTGACAATGGAGACGTTGTTGCTGCTGTTGAGACAGATTCAGTGCTTGAAGTTATCGATTCTGAGGTAATGGTGGATGTGGAAATCGTTGCAGTGTCTGCCGTAGGTGTTGTCGAAGAAAACGGTGATGTTGATGATGTGTTTGATGCTGTCGACAATTGAGATGTCGCTCCTGATGTTGCAACCGTTAGTATACTGGAAGTTGTTGCAGTCGCTGATGTAAATGGTGTTGTTGACAATGGGAAAGTTGCTGCTGCTGTTGAGACAGATTCAGTGCTTGAAGTTGTCAAGTCTGCGGTAATGGTGGATGGAGAAATAGTTGCAGTGTCTGCTGTAGGTGTAGTCGAAGAAAACGGTGATGTTGGTGATGTGGATGATGTTGTTGAAAATGGAGACGTTGTTGCTGCTGTTGAGACAGATTCAGTGCTCGAAGTTGTCGATTCTGGGGTAATGGTGGATGGAGAAATAGTTGCAGTGTCTGCTGTAGGTGTTGTCGAAGAAAACGGTGATGTTGGTGATGTGGATGATGCTGTCGACAATGGAGATGTCGCTCCTGATGTTGCGACCGTTAGTATACTGGAAGTTGTTGCAGTCGCTGATGTAAATGGTGTTGTTGACAATGGGGAAGTTGCTGCTGCTGTTGAGACAGATTCAGTGCTTGAAGTTGTCGAGTCTGAGGTAATGGTGGATGGATAAATAGTTGCAGTGTCTGCTGTAGGTGTTGTCGAAGAAAACGGTGATGTTGGTGATGTGGATGATGTTGTTGAAAATGGAGACGTTGTTGCTGCTGTTGAGACAGATTCAGTGCTTGAAGTTGTCGATTCTGAGGGAATGGTGGATGGAGAAATAGTTGTAGTGTCTGAAATAGGTGTTGTGGAAGAAAACGGTGATGTTGGTGATGTCAATGATGTTGTTGACAATGGAGAATATGCACCTGATGTTGAAATCGTTTCTATATTTGAAGTTCTTGCAGTCGTTGATGTGAAAAGTGTTGTTGACAATGGAGATGTTGCGGCTGTTGAAACTGTTTCAGTACTTGAAGTTGTTGCTTCTGAGGTAATGGTGGATGGAGAAATAGTTGCAGTGTCTGCCGTAGGTGTTGTCGAAGACAACGGTGATGTTGGTGATGTAGATGATGCTGTCGACAATGGAGACGTTGTTGCTGCTGTTGAGACAGATTCAGTGCTCGAAGTTGTCGATTCTGAGGTAATGGTGGATGGAGAAATAGTTGCAGTGTCTGCTGTAGGTGTTGTCGAAGAAAACGGTGATGTTGGTGATGTGGGTGATGTTGTTGAAAATGGAGATGTCGCTCCTGATGTTGCAACCGTTAGTATACTGGAAGTTGTTGCAGTCGCTGATGTAAATGGTGTTGTTGACAATGGGGAAGTTGCTGCTGCTGTTGAGACAGATTCAGCGCTTGAAGTTGTCGAGTCTGAGGTAATGGTGGATGGAGAAATAGTTGCAGTGTCTGCTGTAGGTGTTGTCGAAGAAAACGGTGATGTTGGTGATGTGGATGATGTTGTTGAAAATGGAGACGTTGTTGCTGCTGTTGAGACAGATTCAGTGCTTGAAGTTGTCGAGTCTGAGGTAATGGTGGATGGAGAAATAGTTGCAGTGTCTGCTGTAGGTGTTGTCGAAGAAAACGGTGATGTTGGTGATGTGGATGATGCTGTCGACAATGGAGATGTCGCTCCTGATGTTGCGACCGTTAGTATACTGGAAGTTGTTGCAGTCGCTGATGCAAATGGTGTTGTTGACAATGGGGAAGTTGCTGCTGCTGTTGAGACAGATTCAGTGCTTGAAGTTGTCGATTCTGAGGGAATGGTGGATGGAGAAATAGTTGTAGTGTCTGAAATAGGTGTTGTGGAAGAAAACGGTGATGTTGGTGATGTCAATGATGTTGTTGACAATGGAGAATATGCACCTGATGTTGAAATCGTTTCTATATTTGAAGTTCTTGCAGTCGTTGATGTGAAAGGTGTTGTTGACAATGGAGATGTTGCGGCTGTTGAAACTGTTTCAGTACTTGAAGTTGTTGCTTCTGAGGTAACGGTGGATGTGGAAATCGTTGCAGTGTCTGCCGTAGGTGTTGTCGAAGAAAACGGTGATGTTGATGATGTGTATGATGCTGTCGACAATGGAGATGTCGCTCCTGATGTTGCAACCGTTAGTATACTGGAAGTTGTTGCAGTCGCTGATGTAATTGGTGTTGTTGACAATGGGGAAGTTGCTGCTGCTGTTGAGACAGATTCAGTGCTTGAAGTTGTCGAGTCTGAGGTAATGGTGGATGGAGAAATAGTTGCAGTGTCTGCTGTAGGTGTTGTCAAAGAAAACGGTGATGTTGGTGATGTGGATGATGTTGTTGAAAATGGAGACGTTGTTGCTGCTGTTGAGACAGATTCAGTGCTCGAAGTTGTCGATTCTGAGGTAATGGTGGATGGAGAAATAGTTGCAGTGTCTGCTGTAGGTGTTGTCGAAGAAAACGGTGATGTTGGTGATGTGGATGATGCTGTCGACAATGGAGATGTCGCTCCGGATGTTGCGACCGTTAGTATACTGGAAGTTGTTGCAGTCGCTGATGTAAATGGTGTTGTTGACAATGGGGAAGTTGCTGCTGCTGTTGAGACAGATTCAGTGCTTGAAGTTGTCGATTCTGAGGGAATGGTGGATGGAGAAATAGTTGTGGTGTCTGACATAGGTGTTGTTGAAGAAAACGTTGTAGTCCGAGATGTGAATGGTGTTGACAATGGAGATGTTGTTGCTGCTGTTGAGACAGATTCAGTGCTTGAAGTTGTCGATTCTGAGGGAATGGTGGATGGAGAAATAGTTGTAGTGTCTGAAATAGGTGTTGTGGAAGAAAACGGTGATGTTGGTGATGTCAATGATGTTGTTGACAATGGAGAATATGCACCTGATGTTGAAATCGTTTCTATATTTGAAGTTCTTGCAGTCGTTGATGTGAAAGGTGTTGTTGACAATGGAGATGTTGCGGCTGTTGAAACTGTTTCAGTACTTGAAGTTGTTGCTTCTGAGGTAACGGTGGATGTGGAAATCGTTGCAGTGTCTGCCGTAGGTGTTGTCGAAGAAAACGGTGATGTTGATGATGTGTATGATGCTGTCGACAATGGAGATGTCGCTCCTGATGTTGCAACCGTTAGTATACTGGAAGTTGTTGCAGTCGCTGATGTAAATGGTGTTGTTGACAATGGGGAAGTTGCTGCTGCTGTTGAGACAGATTCAGTGCTTGAAGTTGTCGAGTCTGAGGTAATGGTGGATGGAGAAATAGTTGCAGTGTCTGCTGTAGGTGTTGTCAAAGAAAACGGTGATGTTGGTGATGTGGATGATGTTGTTGAAAATGGAGACGTTGTTGCTGCTGTTGAGACAGATTCAGTGCTCGAAGTTGTCGATTCTGAGGTAATGGTGGATGGAGAAATAGTTGCAGTGTCTGCTGTAGGTGTTGTCGAAGAAAACGGTGATGTTGGTGATGTGGATGATGCTGTCGACAATGGAGATGTCGCTCCGGATGTTGCGACCGTTAGTATACTGGAAGTTGTTGCAGTCGCTGATGTAAATGGTGTTGTTGACAATGGGGAAGTTGCTGCTGCTGTTGAGACAGATTCAGTGCTTGAAGTTGTCGATTCTGAGGGAATGGTGGATGGAGAAATAGTTGTGGTGTCTGAAATAGGTGTTGTTGAAGAAAACGTTGTAGTCCGAGATGTGAATGGTGTTGACAATGGAGATGTTGTTGCTGCTGTTGAGACAGATTCAGTGCTTGAAGTTGTCGATTCTGAGGGAATGGTGGATGGAGAAATAGTTGTAGTGTCTGAAATAGGTGTTGTGGAAGAAAACGGTGATGTTGGTGATGTCAATGATGTTGTTGACAATGGAGAATATGCACCTGATGTTGAAATCGTTTCTATATTTGAAGTTCTTGCAGTCGTTGATGTGAAAGGTGTTGTTGACAATGGAGATGTTGCGGCTGTTGAAACTGTTTCAGTACTTGAAGTTGTTGCTTCTGAGGTAACGGTGGATGTGGAAATCGTTGCAGTGTCTGCCGTAGGTGTTGTCGAAGAAAACGGTGATGTTGATGATGTGTATGATGCTGTCGACAATGGAGATGTCGCTCCTGATGTTGCAACCGTTAGTATACTGGAAGTTGTTGCAGTCGCTGATGTAAATGGTGTTGTTGACAATGGGGAAGTTGCTGCTGCTGTTGAGACAGATTCAGTGCTTGAAGTTGTCGAGTCTGAGGTAATGGTGGATGGAGAAATAGTTGCAGTGTCTGCTGTAGGTGTTGTCAAAGAAAACGGTGATGTTGGTGATGTGGATGATGTTGTTGAAAATGGAGACGTTGTTGCTGCTGTTGAGACAGATTCAGTGCTCGAAGTTGTCGATTCTGAGGTAATGGTGGATGGAGAAATAGTTGCAGTGTCTGCTGTAGGTGTTGTCGAAGAAAACGGTGATGTTGGTGATGTGGATGATGCTGTCGACAATGGAGATGTCGCTCCGGATGTTGCGACCGTTAGTATACTGGAAGTTGTTGCAGTCGCTGATGTAAATGGTGTTGTTGACAATGGGGAAGTTGCTGCTGCTGTTGAGACAGATTCAGTGCTTGAAGTTGTCGATTCTGAGGGAATGGTGGATGGAGAAATAGTTGTGGTGTCTGAAATAGGTGTTGTTGAAGAAAACGTTGTAGTCCGAGATGTGAATGGTGTTGACAATGGAGATGTTGTTGCTGCTGTTGAGACAGATTCAGTGCTTGAAGTTGTCGATTCTGAGGGAATGGTGGATGGAGAAATAGTTGTAGTGTCTGAAATAGGTGTTGTGGAAGAAAACGGTGATGTTGGTGATGTCAATGATGTTGTTGACAATGGAGAATATGCACCTGATGTTGAAATCGTTTCTATATTTGAAGTTCTTGCAGTCGTTGATGTGAAAGGTGTTGTTGACAATGGAGATGTTGCGGCTGTTGAAACTGTTTCAGTACTTGAAGTTGTTGCTTCTGAGGTAACGGTGGATGTGGAAATCGTTGCAGTGTCTGCCGTAGGTGTTGTCGAAGAAAACGGTGATGTTGATGATGTGTATGATGCTGTCGACAATGGAGATGTCGCTCCTGATGTTGCAACCGTTAGTATACTGGAAGTTGTTGCAGTCGCTGATGTAAATGGTGTTGTTGACAATGGGGAAGTTGCTGCTGCTGTTGAGACAGATTCAGTGCTTGAAGTTGTCGAGTCTGAGGTAATGGTGGATGGAGAAATAGTTGCAGTGTCTGCTGTAGGTGTTGTCAAAGAAAACAGTGATGTTGGTGATGTGGATGATGTTGTTGAAAATGGAGACGTTGTTGCTGCTGTTGAGACAGATTCAGTGCTCGAAGTTGTCGATTCTGAGGTAATGGTGGATGGAGAAATAGTTGCAGTGTCTGCTGTAGGTGTTGTCGAAGAAAACGGTGATGTTGGTGATGTGGATGATGCTGTCGACAATGGAGATGTCGCTCCGGATGTTGCGACCGTTAGTATACTGGAAGTTGTTGCAGTCGCTGATGTAAATGGTGTTGTTGACAATGGGGAAGTTGCTGCTGCTGTTGAGACAGATTCAGTGCTTGAAGTTGTCGATTCTGAGGTAATGGTGGATGGAGAAATAGTTGTGGTGTCTGACATAGGTGTTGTTGAAGAAAACGTTGTAGTCGAAGATGTGAATGATGTTTCTGACAATGGAGACGTTGTTGCTGCTGTTGAGACAGATTCAGCGCTTGAAGTTATCGATTCTGAGGTAATGGTGGATGTGGAAATCGTTGCAGTGTCTGCCGTAGGTGTTGTCAAAGAAAACGGTGATGTTGATGATGTGTATGATGCTGTCGACAATGGAGATGTCGCTCCTGATGTTGCAACCGTTAGTATACTGGAAGTTGTTGCAGTCGCTGATGTAAATGGTGTTGTTAACAATGGGAAAGTTGCTGCTGCTGTTGAGACAGATTCAGTGCTTGAAGTTGTCAAGTCTGAGGTAATGGTGGATGGAGAAATAGTTGCAGTGTCTGCTGTAGGTGTTGTCGAAGAAAACGGTGATGTTGGTGATGTGGATGATGTTGTTGAAAATGGAGACGTTGTTGCTGCTGTTGAGACAGATTCAATGCTTGAGGTTGTCGTTTCTGAGGCAAGTGTGGATGCGGAAACAGTTGCAGTGTCTGCTGTAGGTGTTGTCGAAGAAAACGGTGATGTTGGTGATGTGGATGATGCTGTCGACAATGGAGATGTCGCTCCTGATGCTGCGACCGTTAGTATACTGGAAGTTGTTGCAGTCGCTGATGTAAATGGTGTTGTTGACAATGGGGAAGTTGCTGCTGCTGTTGAGACAGATTCAGTGCTTGAAGTTGTCGATTCTGAGGTAATGGTGGATGGAGAAATAGTTGTGGTGTCTGACATAGGTGTTGTTGAAGAAAACGTTGTAGTCGGAGATGTGAATGATGTTTCTGACAATGGAGACGTTGTTGCTGCTGTTGAGACAGATTCAGTGCTTGAAGTTGTCGATGCTGAGGGAATGGTGGATGGAGAAATAGTTGTAGTGTCTGAAATAGGTATTGTGGAAGAAAACGGTGATGTTGGTGATGTCAATGATGTTGTTGACAATGGAGAATATGCACCTGATGTTGAAATCGTTTCTATATTTGAAGTTCTTGCAGTCGTTGATGTGAAAGGTGTTGTTGACAATGGAGACGTTGTTGCTGCTGTTGAGACAGATTCAGTGCTCGAAGTTGTCGATTCTGAGGTAATGGTGGATGGAGAAATAGTTGCAGTGTCTGCTGTAGGTGTTGTCGAAGAAAAAGGTAAAGTTGGTGATGTGGGTGATGTTGTTGAAAATGGAGACGTTGCTGCTGTTGAGACAGATTCAGTGCTTGAAGTTGTCGATTCTGAGGTAATGGTGGATGGAGAAATAGTTGCAGTGTCTGCTGTAGGTGTTGTCGAAGAAAACGGTGATGTTGGTGATGTGGATGATGCTGTCGACAATGGAGATGTCGCTCCTGATGTTGCGACCGTTAGTATACTGGAAGTTGTTGCAGTCGCTGATGTAAATGGTGTTTTAGACAATGGGGAAGTTGCTGCTGCTGTTGAGACAGATTCAGTGCTTGAAGTTGTCGATTCTGAGGGAATGGTGGATGGAGAAATAGTTGTAGTGTCTGAAATAGGTGTTGTGGAAGAAAACGGTGATGTTGGTGATGTCAATGATGTTGTTGACAATGGAGAATATGCACCTGATGTTGAAATCGTTTCTATATTTGAAGTTCTTGCAATCGTTGATGTGAAAGGTGTTGTTGACAATGGAGATGTTGCGGCTGTTGAAACTGTTTCAGTACTTGAAGTTGTTGCTTCTGAGGTAACGGTGGATGTGGAAATCGTTGTAGTGTCTGCCGTAGGTGTTGTCGAAGAAAACGGTGATGTTGATGATGTGTATGATGCTGTCGACAATGGAGATGTCGCTCCTGATGTTGCAACCGTTAGTATACTGGAAGTTGTTGCAGTCGCTGATGTAAATGGTGTTGTTGACAATGGGGAAGTTGCTGCTGCTGTTGAGACAGATTCAGTGCTTGAAGTTGTCGAGTCTGAGGTAATGGTGGATGGAGAAATAGTTGCAGTGTCTGCTGTAGGTGTTGTCGAAGAAAACGGTGATGTTGGTGATGTGGATGATGTTGTTGAAAATGGAGACGTTGTTGCTGCTGTTGAGACATATTCAGTGCTTGAAGTTGTCGATTCTGAGGGAATGGTGGATGGAGAAATAGTTGTAGTGTCTGAAATAGGTGTTGTGGAAGAAAACGGTGATGTTGGTGATGTCAATGATGTTGTTAACAATGGAGAATATGCACCTGATGTTGAAATCGTTTCTATATTTGAAGTTCTTGCAGTCGTTGATGTGAAAGGTGTTGTTGACAATGGAGATGTTGCGGCTGTTGAAACTGTTTCAGTACTTGAAGTTGTTACTTCTGAGGTAACGGTGGATGTGGAAATAGTTGCAGTGTCTGTCGTAGGTGTTGTCGAAGACAACGGTGATGTTGGTGATGTGGATGATGTTGTTGAGAATGGAGAAGTTGTTGCTGCTGTTGAGACAGATTCAGTGCTTGAGGTTGTCGATTCTGAGGCAAGTGTGGATGCGGAAACAGTTGCAGTGTCTGCTGTAGGTGTTGTCGAAGAAAACGGTGATGTTGGTGATGTGGATGATGCTGTCGACAATGGAGATGTCGCTCCTGATGCTGCGACCGTTAGTATACTGGAAGTTGTTGCAGTCGCTGATGTAAATGGTGTTGTTGACAATGGGGAAGTTGCTGCTGCTGTTGAGACAGATTCAGTGCTTGAAGTTGTCGATTCTGAGGTAATGGTGGATGGAGAAATAGTTGTGGTGTCTGACATAGGTGTTGTTGAAGAAAACGTTGTAGTCGGAGATGTGAATGATGTTTCTGACAATGGTGACGTTGTTGCTGCTGTTGAGACAGATTCAGTGCTTGAAGTTGTCGATGCTGAGGGAATGGTGGATGGAGAAATAGTTGTAGTGTCTGAAATAGGTATTGTGGAAGAAAACGGTGATGTTGGTGATGTCAATGATGTTGTTGACAATGGAGAATATGCACCTGATGTTGAAATCGTTTCTATATTTGAAGTTCTTGCAGTCGTTGATGTGAAAGGTGTTGTTGACAATGGAGATGTTGCGGCTGTTGAAACTGTTTCAGTACTTGAAGTTGTTGCTTCTGAGGTAACGGTGGATGTGGAAATCGTTACAGTGTCTGCCGTAGGTGTTGTCGAAGACAACGGTGATGTTGGTGATGTAGATGATGCTGTCGACAATGGAGACGTTGTTGCTGCTGTTGAGACAGATTCAGTGCTCGAAGTTGTCGATTCTGAGGTAATGGTGGATGGAGAAATAGTTGCAGTGTCTGCTGTAGGTGTTGTCGAAGAAAAAGGTAAAGTTGGTGATGTGGGTGATGTTGTTGAAAATGGAGACGTTGCTGCTGTTGAGACAGATTCAGTGCTTGAAGTTGTCGATTCTGAGGTAATGGTGGATGGAGAAATAGTTGCAGTGTCTGCTGTAGGTGTTGTCGAAGAAAACGGTGATGTTGGTGATGTGGATGATGCTGTCGACAATGGAGATGTCGCTCCTGATGTTGCGACCGTTAGTATACTGGAAGTTGTTGCAGTCGCTGATGTAAATGGTGTTGTTGACAATGGGGAAGTTGCTGCTGCTGTTGAGACAGATTCAGTGCTTGAAGTTGTCGATTCTGAGGGAATGGTGGATGGAGAAATAGTTGTAGTGTCTGAAATAGGTGTTGTGGAAGAAAACGGTGATGTTGGTGATGTCAATGATGTTGTTGACAATGGAGAATATGCACCTGATGTTGAAATCGTTTCTATATTTGAAGTTCTTGCAGTCGTTGATGTGAAAGGTGTTGTTGACAATGGAGATGTTGCGGCTGTTGAAACTGTTTCAGTACTTGAAGTTGTTGCTTCTGAGGTAACGGTGGATGTGGAAATCGTTGTAGTGTCTGCCGTAGGTGTTGTCGAAGAAAACGGTGATGTTGATGATGTGTATGATGCTGTCGACAATGGAGATGTCGCTCCTGATGTTGCAACCGTTAGTATACTGGAAGTTGTTGCAGTCGCTGATGTAAATGGTGTTGTTGACAATGGGGAAGTTGCTGCTGCTGTTGAGACAGATTCAGTGCTTGAAGTTGTCGAGTCTGAGGTAATGGTGGATGGAGAAATAGTTGCAGTGTCTGCTGTAGGTGTTGTCGAAGAAAACGGTGATGTTGGTGATGTGGATGATGTTGTTGAAAATGGAGACGTTGTTGCTGCTGTTGAGACAGATTCAGTGCTTGAAGTTGTCGATTCTGAGGGAATGGTGGATGGAGAAATAGTTGTAGTGTCTGAAATAGGTGTTGTGGAAGAAAACGGTGATGTTGGTGATGTCAATGATGTTGTTGACAATGGAGAATATGCACCTGATGTTGAAATCGTTTCTATATTTGAAGTTCTTGCAGTCGTTGATGTGAAAGGTGTTGTTGACAATGGAGATGTTGCGGCTGTTGAAACTGTTTCAGTACTTGAAGTTGTTACTTCTGAGGTAACGGTGGATGTGGAAATAGTTGCAGTGTCTGTCGTAGGTGTTGCCGAAGACAACGGTGATGTTGGTGATGTGGATGATGTTGTTGAGAATGGAGAAGTTGTTGCTGCTGTTGAGACAGATTCAGTGCTTGAGGTTGTCGATTCTGAGGCAAGTGTGGATGCGGAAACAGTTGCAGTGTCTGCTGTAGGTGTTGTCGAAGAAAACGGTGATGTTGGTGATGTGGATGATGCTGTCAACAATGGAGATGTCGCTCCTGATGCTGCGACCGTTAGTATACTGGAAGTTGTTGCAGTCGCTGATGTAAATGGTGTTGTTGACAATGGGGAAGTTGCTGCTGCTGTTGAGACAGATTCAGTGCATGAAGTTGTCGATTCTGAGGTAATGGTGGATGGAGAAATAGTTGTGGTGTCTGACATAGGTGTTGTTGAAGAAAACGTTGTAGTCGGAGATGTGAATGATGTTTCTGACAATGGTGACGTTGTTGCTGCTGTTGAGACAGATTCAGTGCTTGAAGTTGTCGATGCTGAGGGAATGGTGGATGGAGAAATAGTTGTAGTGTCTGAAATAGGTATTGTGGAAGAAAACGGTGATGTTGGTGATGTCAATGATGTTGTTGACAATGGAGAATATGCACCTGATGTTGAAATCGTTTCTATATTTGAAGTTCTTGCAGTCGTTGATGTGAAAGGTGTTGTTGACAATGGAGATGTTGCGGCTGTTGAAACTGTTTCAGTACTTGAAGTTGTTGCTTCTGAGGTAACGGTGGATGTGGAAATCGTTACAGTGTCTGCCGTAGGTGTTGTCGAAGACAACGGTGATGTTGGTGATGTAGATGATGCTGTCGACAATGGAGACGTTGTTGCTGCTGTTGAGACAGATTCAGTGCTCGAAGTTGTCGATTCTGAGGTAATGGTGGATGGAGAAATAGTTGCAGTGTCTGCTGTAGGTGTTGTCGAAGAAAAAGGTAAAGTTGGTGATGTGGGTGATGTTGTTGAAAACGGAGACGTTGCTGCTGTTGAGACAGATTCAGTGCTTGAAGTTGTCGATTCTGAGGTAATGGTGGATGGAGAAATAGTTGCAGTGTCTGCTGTAGGTGTTGTCGAAGAAAACGGTGATGTTGGTGATGTGGATGATGCTGTCGACAATGGAGATGTCGCTCCTGATGTTGCGACCGTTAGTATACTGGAAGTTGTTGCAGTCGCTGATGTAAATGGTGTTGTTGACAATGGGGAAGTTGCTGCTGCTGTTGAGACAGATTCAGTGCTTGAAGTTGTCGATTCTGAGGGAATGGTGGATGGAGAAATAGTTGTAGTGTCTGAAATAGGTGTTGTGGATGAAAACGGTGATGTTGGTGATGTCAATGATGTTGTTGACAATGGAGAATATGCACCTGATGTTGAAATCGTTTCTATATTTGAAGTTCTTGCAGTCGTTGATGTGAAAGGTGTTGTTGACAATGGAGATGTTGCGGCTGTTGAAACTGTTTCAGTACTTGAAGTTGTTGCTTCTGAGGTAACGGTGGATGTGGAAATCGTTGCAGTGTCTGCCGTAGGTGTTGTCGAAGAAAACGGTGATGTTGATGATGTGTATGATGCTGTCGACAATGGAGATGTCGCTCCTGATGTTGCAACCGTTAGTATACTGGAAGTTGTTGCAGTCGCTGATGTAAATGGTGTTGTTGACAATGGGGAAGTTGCTGCTGCTGTTGAGACAGATTCAGTGCTTGAAGTTGTCGAGTCTGAGGTAATGGTGGATGGAGAAATAGTTGCAGTGTCTGCTGTAGGTGTTGTCAAAGAAAACGGTGATGTTGGTGATGTGGATGATGTTGTTGAAAATGGAGACGTTGTTGCTGCTGTTGAGACAGATTCAGTGCTCGAAGTTGTCGATTCTGAGGTAATGGTGGATGGAGAAATAGTTGCAGTGTCTGCTGTAGGTGTTGTCGAAGAAAACGGTGATGTTGGTGATGTGGATGATGCTGTCGACAATGGAGATGTCGCTCCGGATGTTGCTACCGTTAGTATACTGGAAGTTGTTGCAGTCGCTGATGTAAATGGTGTTGTTGACAATGGGGAAGTTGCTGCTGCTGTTGAGACAGATTCAGTGCTTGAAGTTGTCGATTCTGAGGTAATGGTGGATGGAAAAATAGTTGTGGTGTCTGACATAGGTGTTGTTGAAGAAAACGTTGTAGTCCGAGATGTGAATGGTGTTGACAATGGAGATGTTGTTGCTGCTGTTGAGACAGATTCAGTGCTTGAAGTTGTCGATTCTGAGGGAATGGTGGATGGAGAAATAGTTGTAGTGTCTGAAATAGGTGTTGTGGAAGAAAACGGTGATGTTGGTGATGTCAATGATGTTGTTGACAATGGAGAATATGCACCTGATGTTGAAATCGTTTCTATATTTGAAGTTCTTGCAGTCGTTGATGTGAAAGGTGTTGTTGACAATGGAGATGTTGCGGCTGTTGAAACTGTTTCAGTACTTGAAGTTGTTGCTTCTGAGGTAACGGTGGATGTGGAAATCGTTGCAGTGTCTGCCGTAGGTGTTGTCGAAGAAAACGGTGATGTTGATGATGTGTATGATGCTGTCGACAATGGAGATGTCGCTCCTGATGTTGCAACCGTTAGTATACTGGAAGTTGTTGCAGTCGCTGATGTAAATGGTGTTGTTGACAATGGGGAAGTTGCTGCTGCTGTTGAGACAGATTCAGTGCTTGAAGTTGTCGATTCTGAGGGAATGGTGGATGGAGAAATAGTTGTAGTGTCTGAAATAGGTGTTGTGGAAGAAAACGGTGATGTTGGTGATGTCAATGATGTTGTTGACAATGGAGAATATGCACCTGATGTTGAAATCGTTTCTATATTTGAAGTTCTTGCAGTCGTTGATGTGAAAGGTGTTGTTGACAATGGAGATGTTGCGGCTGTTGAAACTGTTTCAGTACTTGAAGTTGTTGCTTCTGAGGTAACGGTGGATGTGGAAATCGTTGCAGTGTCTGCCGTAGGTGTTGTCGAAGAAAACGGTGATGTTGATGATGTGTATGATGCTGTCGACAATGGAGATGTCGCTCCTGATGTTGCAACCGTTAGTATACTGGAAGTTGTTGCAGTCGCTGATGTAAATGGTGTTGTTGACAATGGGGAAGTTGCTGCTGCTGTTGAGACAGATTCAGTGCTTGAAGTTGTCGATTCTGAGGTAATGGTGGATGGAAAAATAGTTGTGGTGTCTGACATAGGTGTTGTTGAAGAAAACGTTGTAGTCCGAGATGTGAATGGTGTTGACAATGGAGATGTTGTTGCTGCTGTTGAGACAGATTCAGTGCTTGAAGTTGTCGATTCTGAGGGAATGGTGGATGGAGAAATAGTTGTAGTGTCTGAAATAGGTGTTGTGGAAGAAAACGGTGATGTTGGTGATGTCAATGATGTTGTTGACAATGGAGAATATGCACCTGATGTTGAAATCGTTTCTATATTTGAAGTTCTTGCAGTCGTTGATGTGAAAGGTGTTGTTGACAATGGAGATGTTGCGGCTGTTGAAACTGTTTCAGTACTTGAAGTTGTTGCTTCTGAGGTAACGGTGGATGTGGAAATCGTTGCAGTGTCTGCCGTAGGTGTTGTCGAAGAAAACGGTGATGTTGATGATGTGTATGATGCTGTCGACAATGGAGATGTCGCTCCTGATGTTGCAACCGTTAGTATACTGGAAGTTGTTGCAGTCGCTGATGTAAATGGTGTTGTTGACAATGGGGAAGTTGCTGCTGCTGTTGAGACAGATTCAGTGCTTGAAGTTGTCGATTCTGAGGGAATGGTGAATGGAGAAATAGTTGTAGTGTCTGAAATAGGTGTTGTGGAAGAAAACGGTGATGTTGGTGATGTCAATGATGTTGTTGACAATGGAGAATATGCACCTGATGTTGAAATCGTTTCTATATTTGAAGTTCTTGCAGTCGTTGATGTGAAAGGTGTTGTTGACAATGGAGATGTTGCGGCTGTTGAAACTGTTTCAGTACTTGAAGTTGTTGCTTCTGAGGTAACGGTGGATGTGGAAATCGTTGCAGTGTCTGCCGTAGGTGTTGTCGAAGAAAACGGTGATGTTGATGATGTGTATGATGCTGTCGACAATGGAGATGTCGCTCCTGATGTTGCAACCGTTAGTATACTGGAAGTTGTTGCAGTCGCTGATGTAAATGGTGTTGTTGACAATGGGGAAGTTGCTGCTGCTGTTGAGACAGATTCAGTGCTTGAAGTTGTCGATTCTGAGGTAATGGTGGATGGAAAAATAGTTGTGGTGTCTGACATAGGTGTTGTTGAAGAAAACGTTGTAGTCCGAGATGTGAATGGTGTTGACAATGGAGATGTTGTTGCTGCTGTTGAGACAGATTCAGTGCTTGAAGTTGTCGATTCTGAGGGAATGGTGGATGGAGAAATAGTTGTAGTGTCTGAAATAGGTGTTGTGGAAGAAAACGGTGATGTTGGTGATGTCAATGATGTTGTTGACAATGGAGAATATGCACCTGATGTTGAAATCGTTTCTATATTTGAAGTTCTTGCAGTCGTTGATGTGAAAGGTGTTGTTGACAATGGAGATGTTGCGGCTGTTGAAACTGTTTCAGTACTTGAAGTTGTTGCTTCTGAGGTAACGGTGGATGTGGAAATCGTTGCAGTGTCTGCCGTAGGTGTTGTCGAAGAAAACGGTGATGTTGATGATGTGTATGATGCTGTCGACAATGGAGATGTCGCTCCTGATGTTGCAACCGTTAGTATACTGGAAGTTGTTGCAGTCGCTGATGTAAATGGTGTTGTTGACAATGGGGAAGTTGCTGCTGCTGTTGAGACAGATTCAGTGCTTGAAGTTGTCGATTCTGAGGGAATGGTGGATGGAGAAATAGTTGTAGTGTCTGAAATAGGTGTTGTGGAAGAAAACGGTGATGTTGGTGATGTCAATGATGTTGTTGACAATGGAGAATATGCACCTGATGTTGAAATCGTTTCTATATTTGAAGTTCTTGCAGTCGTTGATGTGAAAGGTGTTGTTGACAATGGAGATGTTGCGGCTGTTGAAACTGTTTCAGTACTTGAAGTTGTTGCTTCTGAGGTAACGGTGGATGTGGAAATCGTTGCAGTGTCTGCCGTAGGTGTTGTCGAAGAAAACGGTGATGTTGATGATGTGTATGATGCTGTCGACAATGGAGATGTCGCTCCTGATGTTGCAACCGTTAGTATACTGGAAGTTGTTGCAGTCGCTGATGTAAATGGTGTTGTTGACAATGGGGAAGTTGCTGCTGCTGTTGAGACAGATTCAGTGCTTGAAGTTGTCGAGTCTGAGGTAATGGTGGATGGAGAAATAGTTGCAGTGTCTGCTGTAGGTGTTGTCAAAGAAAACGGTGATGTTGGTGATGTGGATGATGTTGTTGAAAATGGAGACGTTGTTGCTGCTGTTGAGACAGATTCAGTGCTCGAAGTTGTCGATTCTGAGGTAATGGTGGATGGAGAAATAGTTGCAGTGTCTGCTGTAGGTGTTGTCGAAGAAAACGGTGATGTTGGTGATGTGGATGATGCTGTCGACAATGGAGATGTCGCTCCGGATGTTGCTACCGTTAGTATACTGGAAGTTGTTGCAGTCGCTGATGTAAATGGTGTTGTTGACAATGGGGAAGTTGCTGCTGCTGTTGAGACAGATTCAGTGCTTGAAGTTGTCGATTCTGAGGTAATGGTGGATGGAAAAATAGTTGTGGTGTCTGACATAGGTGTTGTTGAAGAAAACGTTGTAGTCCGAGATGTGAATGGTGTTGACAATGGAGATGTTGTTGCTGCTGTTGAGACAGATTCAGTGCTTGAAGTTGTCGATTCTGAGGGAATGGTGGATGGAGAAATAGTTGTAGTGTCTGAAATAGGTGTTGTGGAAGAAAACGGTGATGTTGGTGATGTCAATGATGTTGTTGACAATGGAGAATATGCACCTGATGTTGAAATCGTTTCTATATTTGAAGTTCTTGCCGTCGTTGATGTGAAAGGTGTTGTTGACAATGGAGATGTTGCGGCTGTTGAAACTGTTTCAGTACTTGAAGTTGTTACTTCTGAGGTAACGGTGGATGTGGAAATCGTTGCAGTGTCTGCCGTAGGTGTTGTCGAAGAAAACGGTGATGTTGATGATGTGTATGATGCTGTCGACAATGGAGATGTCGCTCCTGATGTTGCAACCGTTAGTATACTGGAAGTTGTTGCAGTCGCTGATGTAAATGGTGTTGTTGACAATGGGGAAGTTGCTGCTGCTGTTGAGACAGATTCAGTGCTTGAAGTTGTCGAGTCTGAGGTAATGGTGGATGGAGAAATAGTTGCAGTGTCTGCTGTAGGTGTTGCCGAAGAAAACGGTGATGTTGGTGATGTGGATGATGCTGTCGACAATGGAGATGTCGCTCCGGATGTTGCGACCGTTAGTATACTGGAAGTTGTTGCAGTCGCTGATGTAAATGGTGTTGTTGACAATGGGGAAGTTGCTGCTGCTGTTGAGACAGATTCAGTGCTTGAAGTTGTCGATTCTGAGGTAATGGTGGATGGAAAAATAGTTGTGGTGTCTGACATAGGTGTTGTTGAAGAAAACGTTGTAGTCCGAGATGTGAATGGTGTTGACAATGGAGATGTTGTTGCTGCTGTTGAGACAGATTCAGTGCTTGAAGTTGTCGATTCTGAGGGAATGGTGGATGGAGAAATAGTTGTAGTGTCTGAAATAGGTGTTGTGGAAGAAAACGGTGATGTTGGTGATGTCAATGATGTTGTTGACAATGGAGAATATGCACCTGATGTTGAAATCGTTTCTATATTTGAAGTTCTTGCAGTCGTTGATGTGAAAGGTGTTGTTGACAATGGAGATGTTGCGGCTGTTGAAACTGTTTCAATACTTGAAGTTGTTGCTTCTGAGGTAACGGTGGATGTGGAAACCGTTGCAGTGTCTGCCGTAGGTGTTGTCGAAGACAACGGTGATGTTGGTGATGTGGATGATGCTGTTGACAATGGAGATGTCGCTCCTGATGTTGCAACTGTTAGTATACTGGAAGTTGTTGCAGTCGCTGATGTAAATGGTGTTGTTGACAATGGGGAAGTTGCTGCTGCTGTTGAGACAGATTCAGTGCTTGAAGATGTCGAGTCTGAGGTAATGGTGGATGGAGAAATAGTTGCAGTGTCTGCTGTAGGTGTTGTCGAAGAAAACGGTGATGTTGGTGATGTGGATGATGTTGTTGAAAATGGAGACGTTGTTGCTGCTGTTGAGACAGATTCAGTGCTCGAAGTTGTCGATTCTGAGGTAATGGTGGATGGAGAAATAGTTGCAGTGTCTGCTGTAGGTGTTGTCGAAGAAAACGGTG